TATTTTTTAAATAAAAAAAAAAATTTTGAATTTACTTACTTGTAGCCGGAGTTAGAGGCGGTCAGATACTTATGACCACTACTGTATATATTTATATAACATTATATTTTTCTTACAAATTGATAAATTGTTATTATTTTAACAGAAGCTAAATGTTTTTAGAATAATCTCTTATAATCCTTGTCATGAATAATTACAATTTTCTCTTACAAATTATTTAGTAGCCTTTTAATATTATTTAATGAAATTTAATTCACAATGAAATTTAGAAAGAAAAATACAAATTTAACTTGTTATTTCATTTACTTTAGCTAAAGCTTTTTTTTGAGTTAAAAAGTCTAGTTAAAGAGAAATGATTTTATATTTACAATATTCTATATGATTAATAACTTCTATTTTACATAACATAATTTACATTTACCTATCATATTTTTTTCCATAATCCTCATTCTATTAATACCTTTTAATTGATTATCATCAAAATTTATTTTTTGAAGTTAATTATTAGATTTTATCTGTTATTTCTTATTTTTAAAATATTTTTACACCTGAACTAATATTTATTCTATTTATTACAAGAGTATTTGATATAAATGCTTTGTAATTTATACTTGTTATTTTATACATAGTAAAGGATAACTAGATTATTCATAGGTTATATATATAAATCACATGTGTGTAAACGTATGTGATTTTTATATTAATACTGAATAACCTAAGTAACCTGTAATGAAATATGAAATAACAGGCTTATCTCATTATGTATAATGTATATACTAATAGATTTTATTGTCTATATACATTTTCTTTTTTCCTGAAGATATTTTTTAAATTTATTACATGTTAAAGAAGTTAAATAGCATAAATTATAAAACAGAATCTATGCATAACTATTATAAATAGAGAGTCAATTATTAAATAATTAATATATGAGGCTAAGCTATTAAAATCACCTTATAGGATAAGAAATTGATTTTGAGTAATTGATAATTAAAAAATGCTATATCACAATAAACATTTTCAACCAATAATAAATTATAATTTTTAAAATTTTTGCTATTATAAAATATTTTTTATATTTACAAGAATAAGTTTTGTAATACTTGAATTCAATTTCATAATACTTGAGATTTTACTATTAAAATAACCCTATGAGACATCATTATACTAATTTATTAGAAAATTCAATTTTTAAAAAAAATATTTACTGAGGTATTAAATACTTCTTTAGACTTCCCATTCAATCATACATTCAAACAATTAATAATGATAAAGCTAAAAAATTTTAAATTTTATAAGATCTGAAACTTTTTTTAACTTTTTTAAATAATGTCGATTATTTTCTAATTCTAATTTTAGATTTTTTGACTGATGTTATACACAAATGAGAAATTTTGATGGCTTATTTGCTTGCTTTGTTAATAAGATAATCGAATATAAAAATTTACCAAATAAGTTTATATATCATATAATAATATGAATCAAAAATCTCAATTTTGGTTGGTGAGATCCGTAAGGTGATTTTAATAGCTTAGCTCCTATATGTTTACATTCATTTTCTTTTAATTATGGTGGAAACCAATGCATATCTTCTCCTTTATAAGTAGCCATTAAAGTTTCATACTTTGCTATCTGTTCAAGAAATAATTTTTTGATATTAAATAACATCATCTAGCTCATGAGTATCATAATAAATCTCCTGCTTATGCATTTGGTAATTATATCCTAAAATATTAAGCCAACGTTGTACAGTTGAAATAGAAATAGATTTTTTTATAATATTAAAACTAGAAATTAATTTTCCTTCAATAAAACTTTTAAAAATATATGTGGAGTTACATTATCACCTTGACTTCTAATCCATTGATGACATTTTTTCGCAACATCTTTATCATCTATTAATCTTATTGTTTTTTGATGCTAACCTTGTAAAGAAATTGAAAATTTATTATATTTTAACCAATATTCAACATCCTTTCTAATTTTTCGAAGTTTATAAGAACATAAGTAAAATACATCATTTTTGCTAATTCTTCACTTGCTACTATTTTTTTTTAACTCCTTTCATTTCAGTTTTCATTAAATATTCATAAACTACATGCTTTCTATTATATATATTTAACATTTCTTCACCAGCTTCACCTCCAGGTTTATTTAATAGCTCTTTTTCATTACCATCTTTAGGTTTATTTAACAGTCCTCCTTCACTATTACCACCACTACCTTCAAGTTCATGTGGCATTTCTTCAAGTATTTCTTTATCAGTTCTTAAGGTAAACTCTCCACCTTTTTTACGCGCACATTGCTTTGCAGCACGTTTTGCTTTACTAAAGGGTGGCATTGTAATATTACAATCAAATAAAATCTAAAGTAAGAACCTACATTATGGTTCTTGTAAAACCATTTTTTTTAAACTATTTTTTCCCCTCATTAAAACTTATTCTTCCGTTAAATTCCAAAAACAATATATCTGATTTTAAAATGAGGCCATTCAAATTTTTTCAGAAAATTTATGTATAATAAATAAGTTGGTAACTAACTGAAGAATATTGAGAGAATATGGTGCCCGGTGTAATGTATGATCGTAAAGCAACCCCTTTTCTGGGTAAATTCGGAATTATCATGATTATAGCAGAAATTCACGGGAAAATAGTCCGAAATTTTAACTTTATTAGTGAAAATAGCAATATCTGAAGCATTATAATTCAATATTTTATTAATAAAAATAATAATTTAAACCATAAATATCAAAGGTCAATAGCTAATCTATTATAAAAATGGTATTATATTTTATTCTAATATCATTAAAAAAATTATAAAATTTAAGAAATTTACCAAAAATTTTGATGGTTATAGATGATTTGCATCATACAGCCAAAGAAACAAATTAATCGAAGAAGTGAATAAATGCACAATGTCAAAACTATACCTTCGCCAAATAAAAAAAAAACTATTAATTTAATTTGTAAATTTTGTAAATATATAAATTGCGAAATTAATAATTTGAAAATGTAAAAGTATTAACAAAAAGTATAAGATCTTGATATTGTTCGGTCAGAATATCTAGTCATAAATGTCTTAAACAATTAATTTTACATAAATTGATAATAGATCTTAAAACTGTTAAAATCATTGAGCGTGAATCCTGATTGATGTCGATCCTATTGTAAAATTTGTCTCAGATTTTCGAGCGAAACCTATAAATTCTTTAATCATTTAAGAATTACAATATTAGCAAACTTAATCACAGAAAAGTTAGGTAATCGAATGTTTTAAATATTCCTATACTTATTAATAATAATACAAAAGTTATAATAACACAAAAAGAATGAAATTGTTTTTCTAAATAACATTCTTTATTTTAATAAATTTAATACTCTATAACAATAAAAAATATATAATTAAATGTAAAATTTTAGTATATATCGATATCTGATGTGATATTATGTACCAATAAATAATAAATCATAAAATATTTAATTTTTTCCAAAAAATTAATGGTAAATTTATAATTCATAAAAATAATTAACAAACGTGGTTATATCAATGGTTAAGCTAAATCTTGTAACGATACATTTTCGTTTTGAACAAGTTTTTTCAAACATTTAACAGTTCCTTCACCAAATTTCTCAACTTTGTTGTGATTTACAACACCGTCCTGATAACAAATAGTAAAGGTTAATTTATCTTCAAAACTTATGACGTTAATAGTAAAAGCTGAATACATGGTAACGGATGATTGACAAAATATCAAATCATTAACCTTCCACTCATTATCGATAGGATTTTCTGAAGTCAATTCTGAAAATTTCCCGATATTACTAACCATCATACTACAATCTCTTCCCATAATGCCATCATTGGCTTTATTTATTAAAACATTTTTATATTTTTGACTTTCGTTTGGAAGCAATTTCAAATTTCCCAGAAAATTGATGGAATGTGGAACACCATTGTTGATCAAATCACTTCTAAATTCTTTACTCATCTTCCAAAAGTCCATTTGTGGATAATTATTTTTAACTGTAGGATATTTATAAATTGATTCATTTCCAGATATATAAACACCCATTTGAGTCCAAGGTGTCATCGGTGTTGTATACGGTCTCAGGTTAATACAAGTGGCCAAATTAATAGCATCGAATGGGGCTAGTTCCCGCGCATATTCCGATACACTATTATCATCTTGATTGCTACCAAGTATCAAATGATGATAAGCGGAGAAGATTAATGCAATGTTAAAGATAGATGTAATGGTGGTTTTATGTTGTTTGCTTAACCTGAGTAAAACATTTAATTCGTCGGCTGTAATGGAGTATAAAAGTGTTTTGGTATGATTTTTCGTAAAAGAAAATGAAGGACTGTCTCCTAACCAACAACCTTTTAACTGTTTTTTCACTAAAAATGTTGGCAAAAGGTAAAATTTAAACAATTCTTTGACCGTTTGTGCTAATGACAAATCAAACTCAAGGCATTCTTCAATCGGTTTCCCAAGTGGAATTGTAGAATGTTGTGGAAGTTTGATTTTAGTTGTAAGTTCTTTAGTAGAATCGGATTTAATACTTTGTGTTTCCAAGAGAGATTCTTGAAATGATGTATAAATTACTAGGGCACTTCTTCCATCTCCAATAGAATGATGCCAAAATATTCCAATAAGCAAATTCCAATTATTGGAGATATCTTGCTCATCGCAAGCGCTTCTGATTCCGACAACAATTCTCCATAACGGTAAAGTTTGATCCTCAACATTAAATTTCTTATTATGTTCATCTTCCAATAATCGTTCAATATCTTTATCATCATTCACGACAACAAATTTTACGATCCTGCTTAAATCCATTTCACGGAGACGAATAAATAAGGGTTTGGAACTATATAATTCTGCGAATGCGACCGCTAATGCTTGTTGTTTTGATATCATACGTTCAAGTGTTGGGTAAAGAATTCGTAAAATCGCATCTTTTATTTCGGTAGGAATTGGAGTAGATGGTGTAGAAGCGAGAGAAAATTTTAAGGGAATTTTGTAACGAATCAAAAGACCAACATTGCAATAATGTTCTACATCATGAGTCATTTGAAAATATCTTTCAAGAAGACCGAGCGGACGAACGACATCGACATTACTTTCATTATTGATTTTCATTTTATTCCTCTGTGATAAAAAATATTTAAGTATATCAAAGTGAAGCGTTTTATTCTTATGAAGATGAAAGGTTTGAAATTTATAATGCGCAAACTGAAACGTTTTTATATTATTCCGGTCGCTTATAAATCTTTGTTTATCCATTGTGTAAATAAATATTAGTTGCATGAATGATTCATGATGATGATGATGATGATCCAATTGAAATGTGGTAATAATGAAATTCTCCGTGTCACGAAAAAAAAAATATATATGTATATAAAATACAAGATCATCATTGTGCGACGAACTATTAATATTAATGGCGCAGTACAATAATCCTCACCATACCCACTTAATTTATATATCTACGGAACTCCACGCCATATTCTCCGTGACAAAAATATATAATGTATATATATTTTTTTTTAAAAATAAATAAATAAATAAATAAATATCAACTACAGACAGAACTCGATATAACGAACTCTTGGTATAATAAATGCTCGTTTAAATGATTTTTTTAAAATTATTTTGTTCATCAAATTTATAAATTTTGATAAACGATTTTTTTCAAAATTTTTATAATAAACACATGCATTATTACCTAAACAAACAACGTATCAACATTAGAAATCTTCAAAATTGTATTTAACTATTTGAAAATTTCGAATACTATCATAAATTATTTTTTTTTTCGTTTATCATTTTATCAGAATTTCAATGTATTATTTAATAATCAAATATAATTATCTTTATTTTTTAACATTTAATCATGAAACTATGTTTAAGTTTAAAATTTATCTTTGGTAGACTTCAAAAAAACACTTTGTATAGGATTTTTAATGTAATATAGTTGACATTGAAGTTATCTAAAGTTTATAATCAATGTCCAACATTAATTTACAAAACATATACGGAACCTTTGCAATAGAAGGGGGGAACTGCCGGAAAAAAATTAAATTAATTTTTATTTGTCAGATTTAGCATTAACTCTTTTTTATTTTTTCCAGCCTTACCCCTTTTCTATTACAAAGTCTCATATCATCCTAAAAATTAAAACAAGAGAGCCGCATCTAATACGAAAAGTGTACAGAATTAGTCATTAGTTCCAATATGCTTTCTTACAAAATATTTAAGAAGTAGTTTTAATATCGTTGTTAGGATCCTTGTGTCTTTAATTTTTTCTTAACATCGATAATGTTAACCATTTATGTACACGATACCGCAAAGCTTCTATTGGCACGTTTTTAAAATAAAATATGATAGAAAAGTCAAGTTTGAAAAAAAAAAATATATATTTTAGAAATTTGGAGCACTATTTGATCACGTTAGAGACCTGCATAAGTCCAAATTTGAAGCCCGGCCCGGCCCAGCTCGGGTTAAATTTGTGTATTACAGCTAATTTCAAAAGTTTGCGGGACATGTAAATTTTAATTATCGGCACTGTCGGATTTTTTGGAAATGTTGGAAATGTCGGTGCCAATCAAATGATTAGAAATTTCTCGGCGCCAATCAAATTACAGTATTAGCGCCAAAAATCGCCACGAATATTTTTTTCTATAAGGACTTTATGCATTTTAAAAATTCTTTAGGTGGACATAAACAATCTTTACAATAAGTATTTTCACAAATTGGACTTGCATTTAAACGGAAATTTAATGAACTATTCATTGTTAAAGTTAAATAACGTGAGTAAAAAAAATTATAAATTTGATTGGCGCCGAGAAATTTCTAATCATTTGATTGGCAACTTTTGAAATTAGCTGTAAATAATGATTTTGCCAAAATTATAAAAAAATCCGGGCTGGTACCTTGAACCCGGACCCGGCCCGGAAAATTCTAAACTTATATTTGCCGGCCCGTACCCGGCCCGTTGCAGGCCTCTAGATCACGTAAAACAAACTTATTTCTATAATTGAACAAAACAATTTTAGCACATCATTATAAATGATATGATTTTATATCCTTCCTATCAAATATGGGAGGTTTGTTAAAATCGAGTTACGAACATAGTAAATCATATGATCCGTAACGTGATTTTAATATCATCATAAATCATGATAGGAAGGGAATACAAAATTACTACTGGTAAACAAACATTGCTAACCTCTAATTCCAAGACTTATTCTGTGAAACCTAGTACTATAAATATTGCTTAATCCGTCGGAATGATATCTTGAACTGGAAATAGCATGGAAACTACATATGCCTATATTTATTAGAAATAGATAATCAAATTTATTAAAATTACACGTTCTTCCTCAAGTCGGAATTATTAAATATATATGTACCTTCGAATTTCCTCGGAAAAATTCATGTTATCAATTTTTTTCTTTAGGACGATATTAATTCTTGATTTCCATTATATTTTACAAACAAAACAAAATGAACTTTCGTTACCAGTTGAAGTCCTTTTAGCTCATATATTATGTGATACTCTAAATCCACCCGATGAAAGAAATCATGCGTTTAAGAAACGAATAAAATTGAATCCAAATTTCTTGAAAATAAATGAATGAATTTGTGTACCTAAGAGAAACATCAACGATCGGCCTGGTAGAGGCCATTGCTTATATAAGTATTCACGTAATATAATGGTATTGCAGGAAAAAAAAGCACCGGCATAGGCTCAACATTTTTTTGGATATGTCAATAAATGCGATATCCTTGAATTTGTTGTACCCAAATGCATTATCTAAATCGAGTCAAGCTTTGTTATGATTACATTTGAATAAGTGCGTACATGAGAGTGGGAAAAAAAATTAATTTATTTAAATTTAAATAAATTTTTGTGGTTTTTAAGATATTTACTTGACAAAGAGATTCTATGAGCTTGGTAGTCTTTTCATAAGTTAGAAATATTACATCAACATAATGCGCGATAATGGCTATCGAAATGTGAAAAAGGTTGACGCATACGTAAAATCTCATTGGAAGATATAACATTCTATATATTTTTATTCACTTAAAATAGATTTATAGATTAATAAAATAGGGTATAAATGAATCCTCAAAGTTTTATAACGCTGCGCTTTTTGAATCACAAGAAATTGCAATTTTAAGATTTGTGTTCGGGTGATACGATACTTTTGACCACCACTTTATTCTAAATAAGGATAATAGATTATATTATAGATGCCTACCATAAATTTATCAATCTAGATTTTTGACAAACTTTTTTTGAAAGACAACATGAAGAATAGACGAAGCTATACAAAATTTTATATATTTTATTATGTTTGGATGATGAAGAAAATTGACATTTTACATCAATCTTAAGATTTAGATTTCTTTTGCATGAGGTTGTAATAAAATTAGTAAAAGAAGATAGTTTTATCAATATAAAATAATGCCATAAATATGTGACTGTTCTTTGGCTAAATCTTGTATGTCATTATTAGAAACATAATGTAATCAATGCTACTTAAAATCTCATATTTAATAAATAGGGTGAAACTAAACCTTACGATTTTGTCCTTTGATAAAAAATTATTCGTCCATTAATTTAATTTTCGATAATAATGCAATATCACAATAACAATAAATTTAAAATTTAAATTTAATAAACAACTGTGTATGCATTGCATTGCTTTTCATTTTCACTCTTCTACGGCTTTCGGTCAAGAATCAAGAAATGGATAACCCTACATAAACTTAGGCAATTTTGACTTAGGTATTATCAAAGAATACCATGAAACAAGTCCTATCATAATCAATTTTTTTTGTCTGATCGTCTTCTCTTTCTTCTTTAAGCAAAGGATACATGAACAGCAGCATGTACGGAAAGTATCGCCCGATTTTGCGATACACTTGATTTATATTATTTATGCCACTTTTTTATTATTTTAAAATGTTTTCCCATATTTTCACGATTTGACGAACGAGTTTATGGTTAAAAAAATGGTGTCTCCTTATACCGAGTTGTCTCCTCAAGATAAAGGAAAGATACTAGCATGTATGGAAATTTCAACGCTACACAAATAGAAAAAAATGGGGCGTGACCCTACTACGATACGCCGATTTATTAATAAATACAAGAAGACAGTAAGTATTGAAAATTTACCGCGATCAGGACGGCCACCTGCTCTTAATATTATTGAAAAAAATGCACTTGTAAATGAAGTCAAGAGAAACCGACGTGCACCTTTGCATGAAGTCGTTAATACACTGCAGCCTAAAACTGCTAAAACAATACTATACGAAGCTGAAATTTGCTCTCGTGTTGCCGCAAAAAAAAAACCTTTTATATCAGAAAGGCATGCGGCAGCTCGTATTAGTTGGTATGAAAAATATAAAGAAAAATCAGCTTCTTATCGGAACCAAGTTATCTTTTCGGATGAGTCAAGTGTTGAGATCACGACAAATAAGAGTTTGGAGATGTACAGGGGAAAGGATTAATACTGAATGCTTGTCACCTAAATTTAAAAGTGATCGGAAATCTGTCATGGTTTGGGGTTGTGAGGAATAAAAGGACCATTAATTTTTGTGATGAAAATAAAGAGGGAAATGAAAGAATTAATTCAAATACTTACATCAAAATCTTAAATTCATATTTGAGTATACAGTTCGTGAGTTAACAGGAAGGCCAGCAGTTTTTCAACAAGATAATGCGCCAATTCATACCGCAAAAATCACTAAGGAATGGTTTAGGACGAATAATATGGTGTTTATGGACTGGCCGGAAAATTTCCCGTATTTGAACCCAATAGAGAACCTTTGGAAGCAGTTAAAAGATAATATCCAGAGTCGTAGGGTCTTTCCAGGAAATTTAAATCTGCACCAAGAAAAGAATGGGAAAATTTAGATTGTACTCATTTTGAAGCAGTTGTTGCCTCAATGCCGCGAAGAATCAATGCAGAATTAGAAGCAAATGGTGGGCCGACAAAGTATTAGCTATTATTATAGGATACATTATTATGTACGGATTTTATAAAATTTAATGAAACTTTGCCACATTTGGCATTGATTTTGAATCGGGCGATACTTTCCGACGCGACTGTACATTGGCGTGAACCGCTCTTAAATTCCCTTTTGTTATGTTTTTTTAATGTTATCAGCAAAGTTATCTCTAGAAATTAAGTGAGAATTGAATTGACTCGTCATAAAAATTGTACTATTTCATGACACACGGGTATTGAATTGGCAATAACATACGAGGTTAGCGCATTAAGTATAGGGCTGTAGAAACTCATCAAAATAAAACATAATCTTCTCTCATCGACGAACTATATTAATTCGAATCAGGATTGAGGTAATGAATTGAGTATATCACGTGAGTTGACATGCAACTGCCTATAACCTAAACTCTAACTACCAGCATTAATGCTAACGCTTAACAATTCAGTATAACAAAACCATACTCAACATAATAACACGTGATATACACTAATCATCACCTCTAATACCTTTGAGACACCGCAATCCATTTGAAAGATTTCTTGGTGCCTCTCAACATGACACTCAAGTTTACCAATTTATTTCTACAACGAAACAAGGATAAACTGTTTAACTATAAAAAACGTGATTAAAAACCTGGTAAAGCCGTAATCTTAATTAAGTTGAGTATTTTCAAAAAGGAACTTTCGTATATTAACTTTACAATAATTGCTTCTAGCAAATTTAGGATTTTAATTCATCGCCAGTTGCCCGATAATTCATCATCGCGGCTTGCATTTGAAGGTAGATTTTTGGTATAAAATTTTTTTGTAGTATTGAATGTATCAATTAAGTTAGACCAAATATATGATAATGTCGAAAGCTAGAAATTCAAAATTTTAATTTAAATTTCTATTTCTAATCGTAACTGATACGAATCTTTTATTTAATTTTTTTAAAAGTATATTTTTATAAATAATGAATTTACTTTAAATAAATATCCGTATTGAATGCGCGGGTTTTATGTGAAGGAAAAAATATCATGAATGTAACCTGTTTAAAAAGATCTTAAATTAAAGCAATATCCAAAATCTACGAAACGAGGTCCCAATGCTGTGAATGACAAGATACCCATTGTCTGAAATAATAAGAACGACATATGCATAAGAATTGCTGGCTTGCGATAAGAATATCAATAGCATTAGCTTCGAAATGATAATAGCTTCACGACATAATATCATTAATCCGCATCGAAGATATCATTTTTAATGGAAAGGAAATATTATTATTTTTTTTTTTTTGCTAACTTTATATGGTAATACCTTTATTATGCAAATAATATTATTACTAAAAAGAAACAGATACAAATTGCAAGAAAAACTATGAATAAGGGAAATGTAAAATTGTGCAAATAAAATTTTCACATTAATTCTGGTATAAGAAGCTATGAGTTATAATAAATGAAAAGATAAAATGATAATAAGATTCGTCAAAGGACCACACAACAACTTTTTCTTACATTGTTGCGTGATCTCATTGATGCCCTCAGAATTTCGAAGCTCAACTTAAGATCCTCTCGAATTCGATCACTGTCTTCTTTTGAGAGCTCCCGCGCTATTCTTTTACTTGCGTTACAAAATATTACCGCCACGAGTTTCATATCATCATCCACTTGCAAAATAAGATCTTCTTCCACCTCGATTTTCATTAATCTCGTTATAGATGGAATAGTATCAGTAAAATAGACACTTAATTCGTCGTAATCTTCACGATAGATAGAGTAAAGACGGAGGGGTGGCTTGTTATTCATATTACCATTAAAATCAAATAAGTGACAATACATTAAATTCGATGCTTCAAACATCTCAATTGAAATTATCTTGTTGATAGGAACATAACCAATGAGATAATTGTCGATATGTTCACAAATGTCACGAACAACGTCGGATCTTTTCGTAAAAAAAATCGATAAAATATCCGCATCTTCGTAATATTCGTAATTTGTATTGGTCCATAAACTATGAAATACAAAAAAAAAAAAAAGAAAAAAAAAATACATATACACTTTTACATTAATAAAAATATTATATCTGCCAAGCATCGAATATTATTTTATATGACAATCATACCTTAAATTGACATCTGTGCTAGGTTTGCTTTTTGCATCATTTTGTTCTTTCAAATTGGTCCTTTTCTTAAATATTTTAAGATAATTCAAGTCAGACAAACGAAATAATAACAGTAAGGAACAACAAAAATGCACGGATTTTATTTCTGAAATTAGTTGTTCAGGAATTGGATAATCACTAGACATATGTTCATATGCCAGTGACTGAATCATCCCATCTTCAACCGCAATTGTCTTTCCAGTATCATTTCCCACGCTGCTACTTGAAGAAATTTCAGATGTCATCTTCTCTCCAGTATCGAAAATCACTCGTAAGATAGTACGTCACTACCGTCCAAGGATTAGTATTTTTATCGACAGCCACACGAAGTATTCGTCTACGTTCTTGAAGCTTCTTTTGAATAATTATTGTATTTGGTTTATTTGGATTTTCGCACTCCTGGATATCAGGGTTATTTCTGCTGTATTCAAACAATAGATCCTCAACTTCTTTCGAAGAGAATTCTCTTAAATCAGAGTAGTTTTGTTGTTTTGCGTGAAATGTCCAAGTATATTGTAGGTAACTGTTTTCAAGAACCAAAGCCCAAAGTTTAAAATGAATTGATGACATGAAATCTGGACAAAGTCAATGTTTTATGTGAAGCATAAAGAAAAAAATTTTTTTCTGACATACTTATATACCTTAATGACGGCATTATATGACTCATTAAATTCATTACACAAAATAAATATCCTTAAATGATGACATTATTATTAATCATCATTACACAATAAATTTCGTAATTTTTTTTTTTTTTTTTTTTTTTTACGAACTGATCTGATTGTCCAGCCACGTATCAGTGAAATTATCGGCGATTAATATAAATAAAATAATCAACTTCTTTCCAATTTTATCTTAATTATGTACTTAAGACTCATCGATTGGACGACAATTAATGCATTGTACTAATTGTTCTTTCAATGAACCTAATCGCGAACAAATTGGATTAGGTCAAATTACTGGGTTATGCTCGCAGTACTCAGGTATTTTTAGTCGGGTAACCCATAATTTATCATCGAATAGATTTGTCCGGACCCACGAATGCCAATTTATTTGCAAAATTTAACGAATTTTAAAAGATACAGATCTATGGGTTACAACTCGATAATTTGCTTATAATTTTTCACACTCCTTTTGGATAATGATAATGTATATTGATCAATTCCTGCTATCTCCGTGAACACCTTTTTCTGATGAGGACATCAAGCCGACTACAAATTTCATGAGCAAGTTGTTAAAAAATTTTCGTATAAAATACCGTATAACTGTTGATCACGCGGTTCTCACACCGACGGGTCATGTTTTTTAATGCCTACTAGTGATTTAATTTTAAAGTACTGTATGTAATTTCATTTGCATCCTTTATTTTATACTAACTTCTTCACAATAAAATCACGAGTAATTTAGTAATCTCGAGATTAATAAGTAAATTACAAAAAGAAGTATAAATTATGACATTCGCATAATTTTCAATTAAGTTCAAATGTAATAATATTTATATTAAGTTCACATAAACTTTACAAAGATAATATGTTGTAAAACTTAGAAAGAAAAGTTAAAACTCGAATCAAATTTTTAAACATTAAACATTCATGGAGAACATTAAAATTGGACGAGGCAGGGAATTCTTTGATAACAATTTATTGGTTAAATTATGGGTGGGTTTACTTCAACTGTGAAATATTACTAGTTAACGGACACCGTTAAAGCGTCCGAAGCGTTATTGGCAATGATCGGCTGTTATACAAGACTGACCAAGGATTTTTTTTTATTCTACTTTATATTTCCTTTCCTTGATTTTTTCCTTTACGTAATTTGTCTCTTCGTTCGTCTTGGAATTAAATATTGTTTATAGATTGCTTTCTGTAAGTCTGAAAGGCAGTTCATTTAATCTTCAAATTTCAATTAATTTAATTACGAAAATATTATTTTAAAATAGTCAATTCATACATTAAATAACGATAATTTCTCATATTGATTTCCAAATCTTTTCGAGTTAGTATAATATCAAATGATCAGACCATTTGGGATATCCCAATTGCGTATTTCAAATTGGGATGTCCGAATTGATCATTCCAAACATTACCGCATTTGGACAAATTAAAATCAAGAGGAAACTCATTCTGTTTAATGCTTGCATTAAGTAAATTGGCGTATCTAGTAATAATGTCTAAGTTTGATTTGATGAGATGGAAAGAACAATGTTATCAAATATATATATTTTTTTATTTTTTATTTTTTTTTTTTTATTTGGTAACCTTTCGTAGTCGAAAGGTGATTAAAAAAAAAAAAAAAAAAGGTGCGTCCCCATATTTAGTTATGAATTTCAACCTCCGTAATATAATTACAGTTTTAATTATATCAGAAAGGGAAAGAGATGCCCTTTTATAGTTTGGTAGTTTCATTCAAAATTCTTGAGATATGTATTGTCAATGAATGTTAGACAATGAAGGAACAATCGAATTCATACTTATTCCACACATCAAAACAAATGTTACTAGCACTGCGCCGATTGTCATAGATACAAAGAATTTAATATTTCCGACAAAGTAAAATTCTTGCGTTCGACATATTTACCATTAATTTTCAGATTTAGTTTCTTTTGTTTTGTAATTCACGTATTTTTGCATTTTTAGGAAGGTTTGCTATTAAATCGAGTTACGAACATAATAAATCATATGATCCGGAACGTGATTTTAATAGCTTATCTCCCATATATGATATGTATTATAAACTGTGTAGAAGATTTTATTTTTTTTTTCAAAACTGTTCAGATTATTTAAATGAAGTATAATGAAAATTGTAATTGATCCCTGTAAATAGTAGCTAACTGTAATCGCCAACCAATTTAGTAAACGATCAAAAAAATTTTCATTTTTGACGCGGTTATATTTAGTTATGTATATTTTATTGTATTTTTTTTTTGTATTAATTATAAAATAAACTGTATTTATGAAATTTATTTACATTGAATTAAAAATTAATACTATAAAAAAAAATTTATTTTTCTGAACCCATCTTTTTTATTTATTTGTAACCATTTGCAAAAATTTGAACACAAAAGCTTTAAACTTTCCAAAAAAAGGTTCTTTTATTTGACATTTTTGTATTTTAAAGACAACAATTAGTTAATGCATAACTAATTGTTGAAGTTTACCATACCATATCATGATATATTGCTGGGTTTTCATCTCATGCACATCTAACAGGTTACGCCGATTGATGACAAATAAGGGAGTGACAAACATGCCAACACTAACCTAAAAAAACTAAGTACTCCGAAACCATAATAAAAATCGAAACGCGGATCTCGTGATATATGCGACAGATAAACATCACGCCCTCCTAATAAAGTAATTAGAGGAATATCGTTCGCGAACTTCCATGACATGATTTAATTATTTTGAATAATTATAAATAGCATGGTCTTAGAACAAGAGAAGTGAGGTAATTTTTTTTTTTTTATTATATTTATAAAAAAACAATATTTACACTTCTTATTTTTTTTTAAAAAAAAATAATTATGACTAAAACGATAAAGCAAAAAAACAATAAACATGCTATTAATTCGAATATTGATGAAAACAATTCTAGGTTGAATCGAGAGACAAGAATCAATAAAAACAATAATAGACTCCCCACAGATATAAAACCAACTTTCCCTCCAACCTTAACAGCAAATGATCTCATCAAAAATGCCATTAAATCTAACATACCTAACAAAAGTAGAGCAATAACATTTCCATACTCTTTTATCGCGTATAGGATGGCATTAACCAATGAATATCGTAATAGGAACATTACCTTACCCTTGCAAAAAAGTATTGGGAGAAAGAATCAAAAGATGTCAAAGAATTTTACAATAAGCTAGCTGAAGATGCCAAATCTTTATATAATCAAAAAAACGTTCAAATTATATATGACAGGCATATGGTTGATCAAAACGACCAACTTGCGAGGGGTGGCGCGGAATCGGCTTACATCGATCAAGATGCTGAAGTCAGTACCTTTACACAAAATTCATCTCGTCTTAATGATTCTTCTCCCAATTATAGATTTTACGAAGATCCTGGACAGAATTCAGCTGATCGAGAATTATTTTATATACTTGATTTTCATTACAAAATGGATATATTTAGAAACGAAGCGGTTGATAAGGATAAGAAATTATAAATAAGGAAATATCTGCTGTTAAGTAAAATACGATATAAAATTATTGGGTGCACTAAATAAAAGACCTTGTCTGCTAATTTAATTTTGTAACTTTTGTAAATGTATAACGATAAATAGCAAAAGTATTAGAATATTAAATCCTAAAACGTCTTAAACAAATAATTTTGAATAAATTGATAATAAATTAAAAGGTTTTGTTGTCAAAAGAATAATGAGTGCTAACAACTGACTCCTGAATCGGAAGAAACACAGAACTTTATAAGGATATTATACCCTTCATACGATAGGAGAGTTTTTACGATTTTAGAAAGTTTGTCTAATAGTTAATTATCTTGGTATTTTTTTAATTAATTAAATTTATCTTATATGCGATAAATGATCAGAAGGATGTCCTAAATCTTTTTATATTATTATGTCGATGAAAAAATGAGAAAATTAAATGTTTTCTTTTTTTTCCTGCTAAGATATTAAATATGAATGTTTAAAATTTATTTAAAAGAAAAGTACACTGCAAGGAATTTGAATGTAATTTAATTTGTTAAACATGCCTTGCCCACGATGTGGTGCAAGATTATATTATCCATGTATGAAATTCATCCGTTCTCACAACAGGTTAATTTTGCACTAACAACAAATATGTATGTTCTATTATTTACATCTTTTTATGATGTAATCAAAGTTTAAAGACCTTGCAATAATATTGTTTGACTCAATCTGTGATTGTTTTTATATGTGTGTATCAATTGCGTTTCAACCTGTTTATGATAGTTAGAATAAAGACAAAATAATAGAAAAGACCAAATATGTTTTCATATGGACTTTGCTAATTGTGTTACAGATACACAGTTACCAAAATTCTATGTAGATTGGTCCTTTCAAATCAACATTTTCTTTTTCTGAATCTATTAATATGATTCATTTTGTAATTGTTTGTGCAATTTTAAATTCATTGGAGTTTTATACAATAATCAATTACTGAGTAATAATCACTGAAATATTTTATTTTTGTACGTTCGGAGATTTGCGACTTATATAGCGTTGCCACCAAAAAAATGGTAGCCGGATTTTATTTGTCAGGTATTTGTTATTAGGGTTAGGGTTTGGATTAGGATTAGGATTAGGATTAGGATTAGGGTAGAATTAGGATTAGTTTAAGGGGTTAGCAAATTTGTCAGCCGTTCCTCAATTTACTAAGTATTGAAATTATTTTGAGAGAAAAATGCTAATTGTCACAATTATATGTCACCCCTAATAAGTATATGTGACCCGGCAAATAAAATCCGGCTACCATTTTTTGAGATTTGCTATTAAATCACATTACGGATCATATGATTTACTATCGATTTTAATAGCAAACCTCCCACAAAATCTCTAGTATTTATCCATCTACTGGACCCTATCTAATTTTTGGAATAATTTTATAAAATACTAGCTGCAAAGCAACATCTTCCTCAGGAACACCATCAAAAATCCTCGGACACGTGATTTTAGGTATACATGATTTGATTTATGAGTGGCGCAAATTGATTTTTATTAATAAAAAATTCCCAAGCAACCTTTCATTTAATTTTTCATTTTTTATATTTATTTTTTTTTTTTTCGATATTGGTTTTTAAATTTTTTTCACTTTAATATTGCTTTTTATTTCGCGTTTGACAATATCAATGATTTAATACGCTAAATACAAAATTTTTAAAAAACAAAAATTCTCACGCATCCGTACAATAATATTTTTTTCAACCTTTTTTTTGATATTGCTTGAAATGGAGTCCGATACTTATTGTGCTGGAAACAAGAATTATAAATGATACCACGATTATGGAGTAATACAACAATTACATTAAATCACAAAAAAATTTACGTGTAAAACTCTTCTCACTGACAAGTCCTTTCCTATTGTAGAAACGTACATCCAACCTTTCCGAAGTGACAAATATATAAGGGATACTTTAAATAGTATAAATTCATTTATTTGTATCAGGATTAGATATTATAGAAAATTTTTCCCAGGTTTTGAATAATTAATATAATATAGATTTAAAGAATTAGAATTAGTGTATTAATCGCAGAATGTTTAGATGACTCTGGAATTTAAGAATTGATAAAGTAGGAATACTAACGTCGTCTGATAATTAGAAGCTCGGGTCGGCATTATAAATGTGGCCAATCTTACTTTTAAACAAATCATAGAGTTAAGTCGTACACGATCAGTCAGTCAAAGGGTCAAAGTTCTTTGACCGTTAGCATCTCTAGATAAAAGTATTTTTAAAATTAAATCATTAAAATCACCATATGTTTGCGAAATCAAATTGCTTTTATAGTATATCTGACAAATCCTTAATAAGCAATCTGATAAAACGGAAACCGTTAAGATTTCGGAAGTGTTCAGATAATGCACCCAGAGATATATATATTTATTAGTATAAACGTAATGAATAGTAAAAAGTAAATAAATTACTATAAAAGAAAGAATATTATAGGATGCTTATTTTAGGAATTATATAGTAAATTTTTTTAAAAAACAAATCTAATTGTAACGACATGTTATATGTAACAACCCTGTAATAGCCAATAATAATTAGTATTTTATTTACATTATAACCAAATTAAAATGATTTGATTTTATTGGTTCTACTTAATGGTTGTTACATGTAAGATGTTATCAAAATTAAATTAATCCTTAAAATTATAATAATAAATATAAAATAATTAGTATCTAAAATCATTTATAAATTTAATTTATTTTTTATAAATATATTTAAAAAAGATTTTAAGATATATAAATAATATCTTATAAATCTTATTTAGCATTTTTATTTATTGCAAGATGAATATATAACTTTAATTAACCTATTATTATTAATTCTTTTATTATTAGTTAATAAATCATTATTTTCAATTTGTATTATCATTTCTTATTTTTTATTTAGTTATTTATTTTATTATTCATCTTTTGATATATTTTTTTGCATTTAAATTTAACTTTATGATTTATCTTGAATTAATAATATATTATTTATTTTAGAATTTATAAGTTCGCATTTTCTTTTTATCTAAAATTAAGTTAAATATAAATCTGATTTATTTTAATAACCTATTTAAACTTTAAGATTTAATAAATTATAAGATTATTTCAGATAATATATATAAAAATCTCATTATAAAAAATAATTCTTAATAATGTAAAATTTATATAAATACTAAAAATTTTAATAATGATAACTAAAGTTACTTGTTAAACTTATTTTAAATTTGGTAAAATATCTAAACCTTTAATATATTTAATTTTTTACTAAGGTTTTGATATAAATTTACCATTTTTATAAATTTTGATATAATTTTACCTTTTACTGAATTTTACAAATTTTTTAATTGGTAATCTGGATGAGATCAGCACTATGTAGCTATATATATAATAATAAAATTTAAGGATAATTAGCATTATAACAAGTATTGCTTTTCTGAATCTAACATGTATAACTAATACTTATGTCAAAATACTGCTTAATTACAATTATTTTAGTTGATCTTAGTTCTATAGTTAAAGCATTTCACTATAGATTATACTCTCATCACTGGTAGAAAACATCAATAGACAAAGAAAATGCTACTTTCTTCCTTCTTCATGTTGGCCAAAAAACCAAAACCTGTCTTAATAATTGTGATTTTTTTGTAACTATTATTGTTGGTAATAAAAATAATACTTCTCTACCTGGGTATTTATGTCAAAGTAATACATATATTAGTTAAATAGAAAATGATCCTTCTAAAGCTATTTCTTTAGTATATGCATAAATATTTGAAAATAGAATGTGATTTTTAGGTCTCTTAGTATTAGAATAGCAAGACAAAGATATTATTTATCAGTTTTTAAGAAATGTCTTATTTATTCTAATTTCTATTTTTATTGATTCACTAAAAATATTTATATATAGAATAGAAATTTCTTCTTAAATAAATTGGCTTAACACTGGTTCTGGATATAAATCATCTTTCACATACAAATTTAATGGCCAAAAATAAGTAATTTATATATCTAAAATTGAAGAAGACAAATGTATTCTTGAAATTTATTAGAATAATTAAATGAAAAAAAAATTGAAGATAAAATTCTAATTGCTGTATAGAAATAAAAGGATACAATAGAAATCAACTCTTTACCTTGAACATCCTTTTGTTCAAACTCTTATTCATCATTATAAAGCAAAATTACCCACATATTTTTTCAAAAAATAGAATGATTATTCTATTATGAAAAAACTTTATGATTACTATTTGAAATAAAGAATAATAACTAATCTCAATTGGCATCCATATTTTCTTGATTAGCTTGAATAAGAAAGTCCAATTATTAAATTATATTCACAATTACAAATTTTATATCTAAAAAATCATCAATTTAGCAATCGAGAATTAAGAGCATGGCAAACTATGCTTCAAGATATTGATACCCATAACGTAACTTCTTGATCAAATAAAGAATCAGAGGTAATTTACATATTGTTGTCTAAAGTTTATATAAAATATTAACAAATAATTTTTATTAATATCAATTTTGGTTTAAATCATTCTAACTTAAACAATATCATGCAACGCTTCAACAATTTAGCAAAATAGGTCTTCTTACCAGTATTCTAACTTACATGCTCAATAAAATCAAGATTTTTTAGAATTCTTTTAGATACGTATTGAATGATAATAAGCAAAATTGTAATGGTAAGTGTAAGTTTTATTAATCATTATAGATGAATTTTCTTACTCAGAATTAGAAATAAATTTGAATAAAGTACAATAATAATTTTTTATTTAGTTATACAAGTAGTAATCAATTATTCCATTATATATATAAAAGGTTGGAAGGCATACCATTTCTTAATCTCAAAAACATGCACAAGTTAATAGTTATGGTGCACCTCCATTATTAAAACCAGTTATTCATCATGTCAAACTAAAAGAAGAAATGCTAAGTCAATTTGAATTATTTTTTGCAGATAAAAACA